TGGGCCTGCTCGAGCAAATCGATGACCAACAGGAGGCCAGTGACAATGACAGTTTGTTTTTTGGCCACACCTGGCAGTGCTCAGGGCTTACTCCTGTCTCTGTGCTCAGGGACCATTCCTGGTAGGACTTGAGGAACCATTGGGGTGCTGGGGAGCAAACTCCAGTCAGCCATGTGCCAGACAAGGCAACCTGCTCGCTGTACTCTCTCTCCAGCCTCTAGCTTTTCCCTTTATTGATTTCAAAGGCACATACAATGTTCCTTTTCTGGTTTCTGTTTTGAAATGTGAACTTCCCCTCTGTCTCTCGAGTCCCACTTCTCAGGATGCAGATCTGCCCACCCGCTTTCTGTTTGTCTTTCCTCTTATCCCGTTTTTCTTTCTTCTCCTCCAAGTGGCGGCGTCCTGCTTTGCGTAAAGACGCGTCTGTGGCCGGGGCCTGCGGGTGAGGAGGTGGTTCTTGGAGAGTGTGGCAGAGGCCCAGCTGGGTTCCGACAGTCTCACGTGCTGGCATCCACACCGTGACAGCACCACCTCATGACACATTTCCTCGAACGTTCCCCGTTGTTCTCTGATTCACGACTGCATTGATGGTCCTGTTCAGGGGAGTCGGTGCGTCTAAGTTCTTGGGTTCTGAGGGTGTCTTTATGTCATTCATTCCCTTGCGTGCGACTCTGGCTATGTCTGAGATGTTTAAAAGTTTTAAAGTTCAAAGGTTCAAAATGGATTTTCCTTACCCGTTGAAGACTTCACTTCGTCCTATTCTAGAATTCAGAGTGGCAAATGGTTCCTTGGCCAGTCACTGTTGCCTGGCCCTCTGCCTGCCTCTGTTGGCTCCCAGTGCTCTCAGAGTCTTGGATCCTCATCAGGAGCCTTTTCCCCCATTCATACCTTTTGCCAGTTGGTAGCTTTCCAACTTAACGACTCACATGTTTTAGGGAATTTTCTTCTGCTTTCCACGATCACATCCAATTTGATATTCTTTTCTGAACATCCTTTTAGATGGGTGTTAGATGTATTGATCTATCCCTACATGACTGTATCACTTCTTTTATTAATACCGCTTATTTAATTCTTTGTCTGTGTGTGTGTGTGTGTGTGTGTGTGTGTGTGTGTAAGTTGTTTTTGTTTGGGGCCATACCCAGTGGTGCTCAGGGCTTATTCCTGATTCTCTGCTCAGAGATTGCCCCTGGTGGTGCTCAGGGAACCGTTTGTTTTGCTGGGATCGAGCTGGGGCCATCTGTGTGCAAGGCAAGCGCCTAACCCTCTTTACTCTCGCTTTAGCTCTATGTTATTCGTCCTCTGGATTTTTTGGGGGGGAAGGGATTTTTTAAAAAACGCAGTTTAGGGGAATTCCTTAATTTAGACTTTCAGTTTTCTAAGTTCCTCATTAGCTATGTTGGTTCTATTATTAACCCGACCTTTGCATTTCCAGTGTTGAATTTTTCCTTTCCCTTCCTATTGTTTTTTTAAAAATTCAACTATTTGTTTTATTTCAAAATGAAACTAATTTCTGATTGTATAACTGATACATACTCATGTCAGCGTTTCAAACAACATAGAAAAATGAAAGATTGAAACCTAAACATAACCTGTACTTCCCAGAAGAAATGATCGCTGCTCTTTCCTAATCACTGCTAATATATTTCTCTCAACATATAAAGATACACAGGGCACACATTCTTTCTCTCTCTCTGTCTCTCTCAAATGTCTTTTTTTACTTTACCCTGAGCACAGAGCCAAGAGTAAGTGCTGAGCACTGCTAGGTATGACCCCCAGAAAAACAAACCTCTTCAAACCAAATGAAACCATACTACTTACCGAATGTAGTTGATGCTAAAACAGACACCAGAGAAAGCAAGACATGGATCCTGCTGGAACTCTTGGTTCTCTTGGGGATTGCAGACAAGTTTTATATCAAGCATACAGAAAAGTTTACAGATGTGAATTCTCCTGCACGTGTCTATCACTGGTTTTAACAGTGACCAGTCCTGATTCATTTTCCCCCTCCATAACTATAATTGCCCCCTTTCTACTATTTCTTGGTTTACTGAATTCATTTGAATGGAATAATTTTATCCATAAAGATTCCAGGGTGCATCCACAAAGATAGAATTCTTTTTCAAAAATATTTTATTATTTTAAAAAATTAAATCACATTGACAGACACAGTTACAAGGTTGTTCATGATTGAGTTTCCATCATATAATGTCCCAACAGCCGTCCCTTCAGCACGGTTCCCACCACCAATGTCCCCAACCAGTTTCCCTCCCATCACCAGCCTACCTCTATGGCAGACACTTTTCTTTATTCTCCCTATTTTTCTCCCTCTTCTTTTCCCTCCCTCCCTCCCTCCCTCCCTCCCTCCCTCCCTCCCTCCCTCCCTCCGCACCTCCCTCCCTCCTTCCCTCCTCCCTCTTCTCTCTGTCTCTTTCTCTCCCCTACTTTTTGGGCATTATGGTTTGCAATACAGGAGCTGAAATGTTATGAGGTATATCCCATTTCCCACTTTCAACAAGATAGGATTCTTTAACAACAAAAAAAATTAAACACAGTGCCATTATCACACACAGAATTACAATTCTCTAATCTCAATTATTCCTTCACATCATCAAAAAGTGAGGATATCCATTTTCCTGGTGATCTGCTCACATCAAACTATCAGTTCATTTAGATTAGCTTCCCCCCATCCAAATCTTTATATCACATTTAGTTGATACATTTCTTAAATATCTGTGAATAACTTTCTCCTCTGCCCACACTTTTTTCTTTTTGTACGTCTAATTTTTTTTCCTTTTTGTTGATTTTGGGGTGGAGCAGTTTTAGACTTAGAGAAAAATTGAGCAGAAAGTACAGAGAGTTCCCATCTGCCCCCTCAACCTTCTCCCTCTCTCAGGCCCTCTATTATTAACATTTTGCTGGAGTGATACATTTGCTACCTTCAGGTAGCCAATTTTAACATCTTATTATAAATTGAAACCTACAGTTTGTATTGGGGTTCACTCTGAATTATATATTCTACATTAATAAATGCCCACACCATGACAGTATCCATTGTACAGAAGAATTCACTGCCCCAAAATCTGTCCTGTCCTAAAGTTATCTGCTGAAGAAATCATCTGGTTATTTTGTAGTATATGATCTTCCGGTGTACTTATGTGTGCATATATATGTGTGTGTGTGTTTGTGAGGCCACACCCCATGATGGTACTCCTGGCTTACTTTTGGCTCTGCACTCAAGATTCACTCCTGGTGGTGCTCAGGGAACCGCAAAGGGTGCTGGGAATTGGATTGGCTGTGTGCAAGGCATGAGTCTGACTGGCTGTACTATAGCTCCAGACCCAAGCGCTTTTGATTATTTTTATATTTTATGGTTGTCTCATTGTGCCCTTTACCCTGTGCCTCTGTCCTTTGTATTTTCTATATATTGGTGTCGCCTCTAAATGCGCAGTGGCTGGAGAGGGGTTGACACGGGTGCTACACACCTTGGTTCAAATCCTAGCACTGTCCAAGGTTCCCTGGGTACCACCAGGAGTGATCCCTGAGGCCAAAGCCAGGCATAAGCCCTGAGCGCTGCTGGGTGTGGTCCCCACTGCCCCCTAGAAAGGATGTGCTAAGGGATTGTGGGTAGGTTATTGGGTAGGGGGTCCTGCTGTTGCAGACGGGTGCACCTCACAGGACTTCTCTCAGTAGGCGCATGACCTTTGGGTGTTCATGACCCTTGGCAATTGTTGCTGATATTCTTGGTCTCTCTAGGCCTGACCTTGCAGTTTCCTCTTGGTTTTCATGCTCTGAGATGGTCCTTCAGGGAGATTCTGAGCGAATTTCTCCAATACGGTACTCTCCCTTTTATCCACGCAGTTCCAAACTTAGAAAAGTAGATTTGAACCCCCACACCTTAACAAAAGATCAGAACTTCCCAGATCCGCTTTCTTTGGTGTAGATTTTCCGATGACCCTCTGAAATACTCCAGTCCCCAAATAATGGTGCTGTTGCACCAATGTACGTAGTTCCTACAGAGCCAAGTCTGGGCCTCTGTGTGTTTGCGGGCAAACTCTGATAACACCAAGGTAAACATTGCCTCTTCCATCTCATCTCCAAGAGGAGATGAAGGTGTGGGTCTGTCTTCCTGTTTAGTTTTGGCTTCTACACACCCTTTAGATTCTGCACGTTTCTCCGAATGTGATCCGGTGTTTCAATAGACATGTTTTTGTGCTTTTATGGACTTTAAAATGAGCCAGCTATTTTCTCTGGTGCTTGATGTGAGAAATCACGTCTGTTCCCAAACTAGTGGAAAAACAGGCAACTTCAACGGCCTGCAAGAGAGTATAATTTTTTTTTGCGGGGAGGGGTGGTAATGGGGAGGGGTACGGGGTATTCCCCAGCAATACCCAGCAGATTCAGGAGTCCCGCTGGCAATTTGTGGCCAAGCAGGCTATGGGTTCAGTGCAAGGGCTCGGGGTTGGGTGCCACTTCAGTGCCAGTCCTGGGACCCCCTGGCTTGGGGTCTTCTGGGCTGTCCCAGTGCAATGTTTTGGGGACCATGTGGTGCTTGGAATGGAGACAGCACTGCCTGGCTGTGCTCTCTCCCAGCTTTGAGGGTATAATTTTAAACATACGTGAACTTTGCTTTAATTTAAAAAATTCATTTAAAAAATTTCATTTTTGTTTGGGGGCCACACCTGGCAGTGCTCAGAGCTTACTCCTAGTTCTGTGTTCAGAGAAAACTCCTGGTGAGACTTCTTGGGTGCCAGAGATTAAACCCAGGTTGACTACATCCAAGGCAATGTTTTCCCCCTGGTACCATCTCTTGGGGTGCCCTTTGACGCTGAGGTCACTCAGAAGTGTGTCTGATCCATGAGGTGCAGCTCTGTGTGGTCAGGAGAGAGACTCGGGTCGTGGGCCTGGGCGGAATTTGCGCTGTTTGTTTTGGAAAAGCCTTTACTTGTCTTTAAGTCCAGGGTTAATGATCTCTCTCTGTTTCCATGTTTTTTCTTTTGCAGTCTGCTGTTTTGTTGTGCACAAACGCTGCCATGAGTTTGTCACGTTCTCCTGCCCGGGTGCAGACAAGGGCCCTGCTTCTGACGTAAGTACTGGGCACTGGCCTCTCTCTGGTCACAGGTGACACCTCCTGGGGATAAGTGTGGGTGAGGAGGCTGAGACCCAGTGGGCCCAGATGGCCCTCTAGCCTCTGAAGTGTTTCTCATTTTACCCTGCCAAATTTTTAATGAATGAACTGTGTCTCATTGTACTATCCAGGACACTTCGTGCTACATTGTTTCCAAGCCGCACTCCCTGTGGGGCCCCCCAGTAGTGCTTGGGGAGGTGCAGAAGCTTCTCCCAGTGATACTGAGCCACCTGGGAGGAATAGTTAGTGCGTTACTGTGGGCTGTTGGGTGCAGCCTTCTGGGGGTGGGAGGGTTCTCTGGGGTTATACCTGGCAGTGCTTGGGGGGTGGGGGGACTTTGGTGAGGGTGATTAAGCTCGGTTCTTTGCCCATGCAAGGCATGTATGCCTGGCTCCTGAGGTATCTCCCTGCCTTTCTCCATCTGTGGAGCCCCTTCTGTGATTTACTTTCACCTCTGTGACTGGGCCCTGAGGAGTGCTGGGGTAGGGCTCGTGGTCGCTGGGCTATAGGAGGACAGTTACAATGCACCTTAGAGCCCTTTGTTCGGGATTTCTTGACAGGAAGGTCCAAGGATGAGGAAGAAATGGGTTTAATTCCCCTCCCATTTCAGGGATCTATAGCTGGTAGGTCAAACAGACAAATGATGTTGGTTTCAATCATTATGAACGGTTTTAATACAGTTTGGGGGGGAATGAATTTTGTGGTGGTTTTGCATTCATGATGGTGACATGAAAGTCTTCCTTAAGTAAAGGAAAGAAGCTTATGGAGGAGGTCGCTTGCTTGAAGGAAAATATGAAGGAGTGAGGGTTTTTGTTTTTTTTTTCTTTTGGGAGGGGGCTTTTTGAATCATACCTGGTGATGCACAGGGGTTATTCCTGGCTCATGCACTCAGGAATTACTCCTGGCAGTGCTCAGGGAACCATATGGGATGCTGGGAATCGAACCCAGGTCGGCTGCATGCAAGGCAAAAGCTCTACCTGCTGTGCTATCACTCCAGCCCTAGGAGTGAGAGTTTGGATGTCATAAAGATACACTGAGAGTCTCGCTATCTCGGTATCAGTGTCCTGAAGTCCTGTACCTCATTGATTATCTACCCAATAACCATTCTGAGCCTGCAGGGGTGCCTGGGAGGTCTTTGGGTAAAACTCCCCTTTCTGAAAGAAAAGGGGCCCCTTCCTGCCCGGCCAGGCACTTCTGAACTTGTGGTGGTATCTTTGCTGGGTCACTGAGGGAGATACTGTCTGTATTTGGAGCCAAGGCAGAGTGGAAAAGTTGCATCAGTGGCCCAGTCAGTTGCTGAGTCTATGCTGGACCGTCTGAGCGCTGGCTGCCTTTCTGGGTGAGCAGCTCTTCCGCCTGAAGCCCCCTTTGGGGCTAGCCCAGCTCGGAGTCTGCCCTGATACAAGTTGCCTTCACGCACAGGCTTCCCGTGTCCAGTAATGAGCTGGCTACTGTGCGGCCATCACCTCTCGTTCTCTTCGTTTGTTTCCGCTTTGGTTCCCCCGGCCGAATGTCTCTCTCAATCTCAGCAGCAGGTGGAATGTATGAACACAGAGAGAATACAGGACACGGAGTTCTCTGTCTCATTCCTGCCTTTCTCCACTTAGTCTTGGCACCCAGACTCGGCTTTTCAAGAACGAGTGGTGATTACTCTCCGTCCTCGTTGACCTTCTCCACGTGCTCATCTGCTGTTTGGTTGCAAATCCAGGGTGGTGAGGGTGGGCGGGGGGAGAGAAGCAGCTCCCGTTGCCATGGCAAGATGGACCCTCTAGTGCTGAGATTGTGGTTACAATGCTCGGGAAATGGGGTCTTTGGGTTTAAGACTGCCAGGCCGTGTGAGACAGCCCTCTGCAGGCTGTTGGCAGAGATGAAAACGAGACTGTTTGTCTTATTCTCTCAGACCACATTCCTGGCCTTTTAAATATAGTTTCTTTGCTCATCTCCAGAAAAACAGCAAAGTTGTTTTTTTTTTTGGGGGGGGGGTGATGTATAGGGGTGGGACAGCCTGTCTGTTTTGGTTTTTTTTTTAAATTTTTTTGCTTTTTGGGTCACACCCGGCAATGCTCAGGGATTACTCCTGGCTCTGTACTGAGGAATCACTCCTGGCAGTGCTCAGGGGACCCTAGGGGATGCTGGGACTCAAACCCGGATCGGCCGCGTGCAAGGCAAATGCCCTACCCACTGTGCTATTGCTCCAGCCCCTGCCTGTCTCTGTTCTGACTGCTATGTATGCAGACTGAGGCTTGGTCCACCGAGAGCCCTGGAGAATGGTGTGGTCCATTTTCTCTCTGCATTCATGGACTTCACTTGTTGCCTGCTATGAGACAAAAACTCAGCTGACACTGACACTGAAACTTTTGTTCTGCCCGTGGGAAAATCATGGAGTGGGAGAGTATGGGTCGCTGTGGCTCTTGGGGACAGAGACTGAAACCTGGTCAGCAGGAACCTCTCCAGTTCACGGCTCAGACGTCCTTTGTCCTGACGGTAATTTCTAGAGGGCCTCCCTTCCTGAATGTGGGGCAGTTGCAGCAGCTTCCATTTTGGGTCTTCTCGACTGCAACCCCAGGACCAGAGCCCATGCAAGACTCACTGGGCTGCCGGCCTCAGGTAGTGGGGAGGATGGTGATGTGAGTGGCCGGGCCTGGAGTCCGTGGCTTCTGCATGTGGGAGGGCATGTGTGCTCACCCGATGATTTGATAGGGAGGAAGATATGATCCCTCAAAGAAGACCTTGAGGAATAGCAGTGTGTCCTGGATGAAAGCAGATGGATGGAGCCAGCATTTTTTTGAGGCTCATATGCTCTGGGCCCTTGGTCAGAGTACTCGAGGCTCCTTAGGACCCTGAGTTTCTTCCGTGAAATATGCATAAATGAGTAGTTTCTATCTTTATTTAGAGGGAGGGGCCATACACAGTGATACTCAGGGGTTTACTCCTGGCTCTGCATTCAGGACTCACTCCTGCTAGTGCTCAGGGGACCCTGTGGGATGTTGGGGATTGAACTTGGGTTGGCTGAATGGAAGGCATGTGCCCTACCCGTTGCAGGAATCTTAAGTGTATTTTTTTTTTAGTCAGGGGGTGGATTTGGGTCTCACCCAGCAGGCTCAGGGACTATTCCTGGCTCTGTGCTCAGCAGTAACCCCTGGAGGTGCTTGGGGATCATCCGTGGTGTCAGGGATTCGAACCAGGTGAGCTGCATGCAAGGCAAGCATCTTACCCCTCCCTTATCTCTCCTGTCCAGGCGTCTCAAGTGTGTTATCCATAAAAGCACTTGAGGCGGTGTCTGGTACCTAACACAAGCTCTCTACATGAAGACAGAGAGAACAGTGGTTACAAACAGCATCGCCCAACACTGGCCAGGGAGCAAAGACGTGTTTATTTACTGAGTCAAAAGAATGAGCCAGGGCCGGAGCAATAGGACAACGGGGAGGGCATTTGCCTTGCACACGACTGATCTGGGTTCAATCCCCACCATCCCACATGGTCTCCCGAGCACTGCCAGGAGTAATTCCTGAGTGCAGAGCTGGGAGTAACCTCTGAGCATTGCGGGGTACGAAACTAAAAGACAAAAAAGTTTAAAAACTTTTAAAAAAAATAAAAGAATGAGCCAGTGCCTGGCCGCCTCTGACAGGCCTTGCTAGGAGTTAAAGACCCCGGGTAGCTCTTGAGCCTCTCTGTCTGGCTGTGACTGCACAGCTGTTCCTGGCCTTGCCCGTGGCGGAGCAGGCTAGGCTCCCTGCAGCCAGCAGGCAGAGCATTTGGCAGCCTCCCTTGCTTGATTCTATCTCTGGACACAGTTTCAACAAGGCTGATTGGCACCGAGGGTGATGAATCGGTCCAGACTCCTGAACTGGCTTGACTCGGTTCATTGACCTTTGTGTGTCCATGGTTGGCGGCGTGATGAAAGATCTGGCCACACCTGCTCTACCACCTGGCCAGCCTCTTTTTGTCTGCACCTGAGGCTCACGTCAGTGGGGACAGGTACCCTCTACCTGTGACCTTGAGGAATAAGTGTGTGACAGGCACCTGGAGCCACAGAGCTCTGTGAAGAAGGAGAAAAAGGAGTTCTTGGCCTCCACCATCAACCCTCCCAGCCTGTCCGCTCCTGGGAAGGGCAGAAACTGGTTCCTCTGGTCTCCTTCTATAGATGGAATAGTCACGGGACATTAGGTCCCCTGAAGACATTTTGCCAACTGTACCCAGTAGTCCTGGTGAACCCAAACACTGGGTCATTCCATGCCACTGGGGCACCCACTCTGGGGGGAACCTCAATGTGGCAGCGTTGGTGGGTGGCACTCTGGCATCTTTCAGCATCCCCCCACTTCTTGGGCTCACCTTGTTCAGGTTTGCTCTCCCTGGGCTTCTTTGAGATGCTGAGTCTTTGGGGCACCCACCAGTGTTGTGAAGGCACATGGCAGGCTCCCAGCACTCAGCATGTGGACCATGAGCCCGTACTCCTGAAAGGCATCTGAGGTCCAAGAAGAGAAGTGGAGGGCGTGCATCTGGGGTGAGTCCAGTGAGATGATGCTTGCCCTGGGGGGACAGTTTTCGAGTGCTCGCCCGTGTCTACACAGGATCTTTGATGGGGTGGTCTAGGCTTCCCATGCCTGGTGCCTGGTTCCCCTACCATGTGGTATTGTCTCTTCATGCTGGCACATGCTGGCTTATTTGTGGGTGGTTTCGAGGACTCCAGGAAGCCCAGCAAGTATGTCCCTGTGCAAAAGCTCTTAATGGGCCTGTGAATCCTGTTCAATAACGTGTCTCCTGGCCAAGCCTAGAAATAAAGGGATCTGGAGAGAGCTAATACAGGGGTAAAGGTGTTTACTTGCCTTGCACATTGTTCAACCTCAGTCTGATCCTTGGTACCTCCTATGCCCCCGACAATCAGCAGGAGTGATCCCTGAGCACAGAATCAGGAGTAAGCCCTGAGCACAACCAGGTGTGGCCCAGAAGCCAAAATA